CCTTAGCATGAGCATTCACTTCAAGCTGCTGAAACGTCTGGTAGAGGAGCCAAGCTTCAGTCAGATCCTCATCCCGCTGCAGTCCGTCCTCATCCCGACACTGCCCTCTACTGGCGGGGCGAACACACAGCATGACGCCTTCCCCGGACACTGGGCCTACCTGGACGGCTTTGAAGACGCTGTAAGTGTGTGGTGTGTGTGGGAGGAGGGGGTGGGGGTGAAATCTTTATTGAAAAAAAAAATTTCAGGTCTGGACAACTTTAGAAAAAACATTTGTATCCATCTGTCTAATAAATATAGAAGCTGTGTATTAATGTACGCAGGAGAAGAGCTGGTTGCACCTTAAATGTTTAAAGTTGGGTTTGGTGATGCCAGGTGGAGATTTTGGCCTCCCTGCAGAAGCCTAAGAAGATCAGTCTGAAGGGCTCCGATGGCCAGAGTTACACCATGATGTGTAAACCTAAAGACGATCTAAGAAAAGACTGCAGGCTGATGGAGTTTAACTGTCTCATCAACAAGGTGTGTGTCTGAAATATAGGCGCTGTCTCTAGCAACGTGCTAAGATGTAACAATCCTCCCGTCATCTCTGTTCACTCGGTGTGTAGTGCCTTCGTAAAGATGCAGAGTCGAGGCGAAGGGAGCTCCACATCCGCACCTACGCTGTGATTCCACTCAACGAGGAGTGCGGCATCATCGAGTGGGTCAACAACACTGCTGGGCTGCGACACATCCTCACCAAACTGTACAAAGAGCGAGGTGGGATGGAAAATGACTGTTGCTCAAAAGCAATCTTTGTAAAACCGAAAAATTCAGTGGAAGTTATTAGAGTTTTATGTGTTAAATCAGTACAGAGATGAGCATAATTTGATTTCCTTTTGGGATTACTAAATTATTATTGAATAGAATAATAGTGAAGCTGAAGGAAAATTCTTTAGTTTTAAATCCAAGAAATTAGGTGGAGATTTATTTGATTTAGAAGACACCATTGTCAGTAGAAACCTTATGCTTAATTTGATCTCAGTATTATCACTAAACCTGCTGTTTGAAAGCCCAGGTTACACTCGTTGCGTCCAAATTTTTTTTATCTCCGATACAATGTTTTTTTTTTGTCACACTGACTGCAGTGTGTATAGATGGGACCCGACTACACAGGGTGAGCAGATCCCGATCTGTGTGTGTATATATATATATATATATATATATATATATATATATATATATATATTATTTTCACTTTTCTATCTGTGCCCCAAAAATTAAAACGGTTTTTCACATTTCACTGGAAGAGATTATGAAATGTTATTTAAAAAAACAACCAGCACGGTTACAAACCGAAGCTCCATTAAGCGGCGCTCTCCTCTACTGCCCCTCGTTTTTGCAAGGCTCAATGAGGTTCTCTACTTTATCGGTTTTCCCTCCTGATCTTGGGTAAAGTCCATTCATCCATCTTCTTCCACTTATCCTGGGTCGGGTCGCAGGGGTAGCAACTTCAGTAGGGAGGCTCTGGCGTCCCTCTCCCCAGCCACTTGGGCCAGCTCCTCAGGGGGAATCCCAAGGCGCTCCCAAGCCAGCTGAGAAACATAGTCCCTCCAGCATGTCCTGGGTCTCCCCCTGGGCCTCCTCCCGGTGGGACATTCTGGAATACATCATCAGGGAGGCGTCCAGGAGGCATCCTAACCAGATGGCCCGAGCCACCTCAACTGGCTCCTTCCAACGTGAAGGAGCAGCAGCTCTACTGAGTCCTCTACGGATGACTGAGCTCCTCACTCTATCTCTAAGGGAGAGCCGAGATACACTACTGAGAAAACAAATTTTGGCTGCTTGTAACTGGGATCTCGTTCTTTCAGTCATGACCCAAAGCTGATGACCAAAGATGAGAGAAGAAACGTAGATTGACTGGTAAATTGAGAGCTTTGCCTTTTGGCCCAGCTCTCTCTTTACCACAACAGACCGGTACAGGGCACGCTGCACAGCAGACGCCGCACCAATCCGCCTATCGATCTCCCGCTCCATCTTCCCCTCATTCGTGAACAAGACCCCAAGATACTTAAACTCCTAAAGTAGGGGCAGTACATCCTCCACAACCCGGAGAAGGCTCTCTACCCTTTTCCAGCTCAAGATCATGGTCTCGGATTTGGGGGCATTGATCCTCATCACGGCCGCTTTGCACACGGTCCAAGTCTGCCCCGCCTGCTTTGTATGCAGCTCCAAACCTGACTGTTTTCTCTTAAGACAGAGATTTTATTTTGTATTATTTATTATTATTTAATCACTTCTCTCTTTCTGTCAGATCCATGAAATTGAATTGCTGCTTAGTCCGACTAAAATAGACCTGAGGTCCATCTCTACACAAGCCCCCTTACAGAAAATCGTAATGGGTGTGATCATCCCCATTGATTTTCAATGCATAAATGCCATGAACTTGTAAGATGTGATTTTCAGTGGTTTCAGACACAAAAATCTAATTCCATAAGTTCTTGGTTTAAGAGTGTAGGTCTGCTGTTTCCATTAGCATTTTAGCAGACACAGACAAACATGCTCTTCTCTAAAAAGGCTAAAAAGCAAACTGTATTCCAGAAAACTAACCATAGACACGATCTCCTCTGTGAAACATGGTGGTGGCTGCATCATGCCTTGTTTTGGATTCTAACATCTAAAAATGTTTGAAAACCTGAGAAAAGTGTGCAAGTTCAATTGCTTAGAGTTTTGTAGCCTGAAATCATTGAGGATTCTAATGTATTTGTCCAGGTGTCCACCTGTCTGGTAAAGAGCTGAGGAAGCTGATTTTACCCAAAACAGCTCCCTTTGATGAAAAGCTCAGAATCCACAAGGAGGTGCTGTGTGCCCGGCATCCGCCCGTCTTTTATGAGTGGTTCCTCCGAACGTTTCCCGACCCTGAATCCTGGTACGCTGCAATTTTTACAGCATGTGAATAGAAGACAATCGATGTCTGAAACCAATATGGAGGATGAAATTATAACTTGTACTTGTTCTCATTTTTCGGTGTCTTTATCCAGGTACAGCAGTCGCTCTGCGTACTGCCGCTCCACTGCTGTGATGTCCATGGTCGGCTACATCTTGGGACTTGGTGATCGTCATGGAGAAAATATCCTCTTTGACTCTTTTACTGGCGAATGTGTCCACGTGGACTTTAACTGCCTCTTTAACAAGGTTAGTCCCACAGGTTGAATGCAAATTCTTGAATTGAGCCAAAAAAAAGAGCATTAAAAATTAGATGCAGGTATACATCGCATTGCAAATATACTTTTCCAGCATTTATTATTTGTCATTACACTGTCACAAGTACAGAACAACGAAATGAAGTCTCTGCATTAAACCGAACCCCTTGGAGCAGTGTGGCTCACAACACTGCTGCACTGCTGTGGGTTAAGGGACCCAGATTGGCAGTTCGTGGGAGTGGGGCTTGAACTCAGAACCTCAAGATTCAAAGCGCAATGCCCTAACCACTAGACGCCACTCCCCAAAGCAGGACTTGGCATGAAGGGTCTTACCTGGCAGCTCATGAACCCAGCCTTCCTGTTTGCAGGACGGGTGACTTGCACAACCATCTGATAAAATAGGCAGTATTTTGTTGTGATGTGAAACAATATGGGACATGTAAAACGCTTGAAAATATCTGCAATAAACTATTTGCGTTGTTTTCTTTTTTCATTGCACGTCCCTTTAAATTTTATTATATATGATGTTTTATCCACTAGGGGGAGACATTTGACGTTCCAGAGGTAGTACCATTCCGACTAACCCAAAACATGGTCCATGCTATGGGGCCTATGGGTACTGAGGGCTTGTTTAGGCAAGCCTGTGAAGTCACACTGAGACTGATGAGAGACCAGAGAGAGCCACTCATGAGGTAGGCACAGTTTTAAACACTTTTTTTCTCTGATCACATCTAGAAATAAAGCTTTCATCACTCATTCATTTGTTGTATTTTACACCTTCAGCGTGCTGAAGACTTTTCTTCATGACCCGCTGGTTGAGTGGAGCAAACCATCCAAAGGGCTTGTGAAAACCCAGGCCAATGAGACAGGGGAGATAGTTAATGAAAAGGTACAAGACTATAAAAACGATTTGTTTCTGTGATTAAAGCATTTGACTTATACTCGATCTCTCTCTGCCAGGCCAAAACACACGTGTGTGAAATTGAGCAACGTCTCCAAGGGGTGATAAAGAGCCGGAATAAAGTACTTGGTCTCCCTCTGTCAATAGAGGGACATGTGCACTACCTCATCCAGGAAGCCACTGATGACAAATTGCTCTGCCAGATGTATTTGGGTTGGGGTCCATACCTGTAAAAGGGAAGATGCATGTTAAGTTCATTATTTAAGCACCTTTTTGATATATGGAGGGGAAGGGGTTCTAAAGTTAATATTGTTATATGAAAATTCAAGTTTTTCAAAAAGATGTTATACATTTGTATTTCCTGCTCTGTATTGTTTGTAATAAAAGAGTTTACTGTTGGTTACTGTGATCCATTGTCTTTTAATCTTTTAACCCTGCTTAGTACCTCTAGTGCTCCTCGGACTGTCAGCATAATGAGCTAATCCTTGATTCTCTCTTGCTCAAGCTCCACCTTTCAAGGACTTTATTGCATGTAATAATTTGTTGGGTTTTTTTTTTTTTTTACAAGGCTGCCATTTTTTGTTGTGCTGTCATGGATTCAAATACTCAAAAAGTCGCTGTATTTTTCATTATGGTATTTCTACTTGTTAACTCATGGTTGCTTCTTCAGCTTACCTTAAGATAGACAGCTTTAATTTAGTCTTATTGAACAACTATTTACGGGTATAATTGCTTCATTTTTTAAAAGGGAGGTTAATGATGAAGGGGGATTTTGTTTTGTTAATTTATTATATGGTTTCAATGTGTTACTTTATACAGAAGAATGCAAAGATTTATGGTGGATTATGCTTTTATTGTGTATTGTACTAACCGGAAGAGTGATTTAATCCTTTACGTCACTGAATTAAATTAAGTCTTTCGTTATATTTAAATCAATGTTAACTATTTGGCGCATGCTGATGTCCTTATTACAGCATTTCGACGCATTTATTTAAAATAATCCTGGAAAATAGTTTAAAAAGCGCATCCTTCAAATTAAAAGCCCGACATTAAAAGGCGGTAAGTGGATTTTCATTTTCAGAGCGTCGTTTATTTACCTACCTTTATTTAAAGGTATACATCGTGGTAGCCAGGCGGGTTAAAGGCGATGTTTGAGCCAGCTGGTTGTTTTCGGTCATCTCTTGGTTTCTTGTAACCGGGGGTCTCCGTGGTCCTGCTGCCTCCCCGGAGAACACGGCCGACCTTGAGGACTCCGTCATGGACCTGACGCGGCTGGCCGTGGATGCTGGTCAGTTCATCAACAGGGCTGTTCAGGTAAATCAAGCAAGAAATGTTTCCAAAACGGGCTTGTTTGCTAAATAAATGCGGGTTTCGCGTTGTTTTAAATGTTGTCACATTACTCCAGTACACCGGAGAGATTCTCGGCCACACGGGCAGGACTGAGCTGGACCCCGAGCTGGAGACGCTCCTGGCCCGAGCAGACGCCACCAAGACTTGGACGGACTCGATCATCTCTCAGACTGAGGTTTTACTTCAACCCAGTCTTGGTGAGGGAGAGAAAAATAACAGACTCATCTGTACATATCTGTGATGTGTCCAATATTTGAACTTAAGACAGCTTTAAATGAATCCTCTAGTATTGGGGTGTAGAAATTATTGTTTCTATTAGGAGAATAGGTTGTCTGCTTGCATACCCATTCCAAACTACATACCTGAAAACCAGACCAAATAAAAAAATATCTATCCTCTTGCATGGTAGCAGTGAGTCTGCAGCCCTTCTCCATCAGTTAGGGACAGCTGCAGATTTAAAGGTGAAACAGATTTACTGAGATGTGCAATCAAATATATCTCCAAGTTTACAAGAAAAAATATGAAATGCTATAATAAAATTCAACATATAATTTTGTTTTTTTGTAGTTCAACGAGACTCAGAAATAGCTGCAACCCAGAGACCGCCAGACTCACAGGACAGAGACTTAAAATGAAAGTATAAGAAACCTAATTAAAGCACAAATAATACAAACCAGTGTATGAATGATTTTTGAAATATAAGGTTCAATAAATAGACTTTGGCTGTCAATGACATATGGGACAAATTTCTAAATTTGATTTTGCTCCTTATGAAGGAGGATAATCACTGATGCAGCTTGAAGGGAAGCCATGCATGGATGGATTGATGGAAGTGAGGTTGTGTCCATACTAGGGATGCATGATATATTGATGTTGGCATTGGTATCAACTGTTACTCGTCCTTTTTTTTATACATTCATGTTTTTGAGCCCTTTATAAAATAATGCACTAAAGGCAGGCATCTGTCTATAACTATAAATACCACAAATGTATTGTGGTACTCTTGTGTTCTCAACAATAGTCAAGCATTCAAAAAATATATGTTTGAGCCCATTTTTGGAAAATACAAACCCTATTGAAAGTGTTCGGGTTGAGTAGCTGTAGATCTATCAGCCACTATCCTTAGAGCATCACCACCAACTTTTATCACAAAGTTACACCCTTGAGTTGTACCCCACTTCCCTACACAAATCCATCATAGGGCAATACAGAGACAAACAGCCATAAACACATTCACTCTGGCCTAGGGAAATATGGAGTAAGTTTCTGGATTGTTGGGGAAAAAACGGATTACCTGCAGTGCTGGAACAGCTCCCTGACCTTATGCCCTTCCCAGGTGGATGTCAGGTCTCACCAGACTTTCCTCTGGGTTCAGAGCCTTTAGCTGCTCTCTCTATTTAAAGCCTGCTGTCTTATTTGAAATCATAAAAATAAACACAGAATAAAGTTGATGTTGTTGTTTTTTATTGTTTTGACAGGGGTTTTCTAATGTCTGCTGGAATATTAACCTTTTTTAGTTTGTTTTTGTTTCATTTTCTAAAATCATAAGTCCAATTGTAATCCTGTGTTCAATAGAAATTAAAATGAGCGTGGTCCTGCTATAGCTGCAGGTAGAGCGCATAACCCATGCTGAATTTTTCTCCCCTCTCTTCTAACCCACTTTCCTGTCTCCATACTAGGGCTGCAAACGAATACGGTAATTATTTTGCAAATCGATTAATCTGTTGATTTTTTATTTTGTTTGGAAAGCGTCCTGTCTGGCGATGTGGCAATAAGAATAATTGTCTTGATGCCAAAAAGAGCCCAACAGATTTTGCTTTCACAAGTGGAGCAGTACAGCTATCCCCATAATGTTCCACTTGATTAATGCATATAAATGACTTTATTATAAATAATGCAGGGACTTTAACAGATTATATGGACACTGCAATGAAAGTAGAACAGGAAACATCCTTCCCAGATTTCTTTACTTGTTCCAAACTCTTCCAATCTCCATTCCTAACAAACTATTTGAGGAATGGGACAAAACCATGACAAGATTTATATGGCAAGGTAAAAAACCCCGCATTCGACTCAAAACTCTCCAATTAACAAAAGGAAAGGGGGGCTGGGGCTTACCCTGTTTAAAAAATTACTTTATTTCAGCTCAAATCAGAACTTTGTTGTACTGGTGTGATCCCAAATATGATGCCCAGTGGAAAAACATTGAATGTAACCTATTACCAAATATCCCAATGCAAGCTTTATTAGCAGATGAAAAACGACTGGATCAAATCAAACAGGTGAAGAATCCCAGGGTAAATTCTGTTTTGAGCACCTGGAAGGATGTGCTTAAAACACACAAACTTAAGAGAAACATAAAAATTTTAAATTGGTTTGCTTACAATACAAATTTCATGCCTAATAATACAGATTCAAGATTTAAATTATGGATTCAGAAAGACCTGAAAATGTTCTACCAAATTGTAAAACAAAATCACATGGAAAGTTTTGAAATGATAAAAGAAACATTTGGCCTGGAGAATCAAGATTTCTATAGGTACTTACAGATAAGAAATTACTACAATGTAGAAATCAAACAGAATGATCACAACCCATTGATAGATCTCTTCATTAAAGCACTCATACTCGTCGTCTCCCGCTTTATCCGGAACCGGGTCGCGGGGGCAGCAGACTAAGCAGAGACTCCCAGACTTCCC